TAAGATGGCCATCTAGGTGCTAAGCAAGGACCTTATAGTGAGAACCTGATGTGACTCCGTTTTTGAAATAACCAGCCTCTACCTCAGAGCAGGGCCTGTCCAAAGCAGGGGGGGAGGGGATGATCCAGCATTTCTAGGTGCATAGCTAGCCCTAACTGCAGTGACCAGATAGCCTTGACTTAGCAATTCAAGACCAAAGAATGCTTAAGACCTAATTTCAGACCATAGCAACAACCAATCAGAGTGAGACAGGGAACATATCTAAAATGCCAGGTGACCCTCCCAGTAGTTTTGGTGATTGATAACATGTTAGCAAACCATGTAGTTTAGCGCATACACGCCTCACAGCTTAAACCAATCAGTTCAAATGTACCCACCTCTTGAACTAACCAATCACCCTTACCCAACTTGTTCCCACCAGAGAATGTGCAAATCAATCTTAAGAGTTTTTGTTAGATTTTCCCACGGTATAAAATGATTTGCTGTCTGATGTGATATATAGAGTATCCCAAGAAAACCTATAAATTCTCACTGAACTAAAGGCCAGGACTCACTCCCTGGGACTGCTGCATCCTAAGTGGTTGTGAGTCCAGGCTCGAGCTTGCAATAAAGACTCTTGTGTGATTGCATCAGATTCGGCTCCTGGTTGTCTATGGGGTCCCATGAATCTGGCATTACAATAGGTACTAAAAAGAAAAGAAAAATTGGAAGGGAGTTGTTAGAGACACAGCAGAGACTCCTAAAACCTTACACTACCCTTGGGGACAGGGATAGACAAGCAGGCTTTGGTTCCCCTACAAGGTAAAGTGTGTTTGGGGGGAACTGGCTTAGCAAACAGGCTTGAGAAGTATAAGATTTTTGCTTAGTATCTGGATGGCCATTTTAAGTGACAGGAGCCATTTTAAGAAAAAAGTTTGCTTTCCCACCCAACCCTAACCACCCATATTAGGACCCACCTGGCTCTGATTCCTGAGCCTCCCAAGATCGAGCTCCCTGGTGTGCCCAATCTCCCCTTTGAGGTTCACGGAGTTTCTCTGGGGCCCCAATCTGGATTCCATCATGGAACCCACTTCTCCATTCTGCTGAAGGCCTTCTCTACCCCCACTACCAGACATTTCATCTCCAGTCAACCTAAAGGACCTACAGTTCCCAGGAAGTGATGGTTGATCATCTGGCACTCTATGTGATTGGGGGCACCCCCAGGCACAACATTCACAGCTACTGCTGATCCCTCCTATCGACTCAGTGTATAAGTGGTCATTTATTTGAGTCCTGGGTTTTGAGACAAAACCACTGAGGATGATTGGGAGCTGTTCCTGGTAAGA